TACAAGTCTAGGCTACTGTATCTACGACAAATATGCCTCTGATCATATCGTTCCTATTGGTGTTTTAGTTTTTTTTTTTTGTTGTGAAATTATTAAGGAAATTGAATTAATAATATACTTTTGGAGTCCGTACTGAGCCCAAAAAATCCGCAATGAAAATATAACGTGTTATTATGTGTTCTTGATTTTTTTTTAATTCATTTATAGGCCTATTGTTGTTTAGTTTCATTTTGATGCCAAAATTGGCGTTCCATACAATATCGCCAAAAGTCAAGTGGCACAGTGCAAAAGTCAAGTGGCGCAGTGCAGAAGTCAAGTGGCACACTGCAAAGTAGCGGCACACGCATTTGGATTTTTGCTCTGCGCCACTTTAGTTTTGCACTGCGCCACTTTAGTTTTGCACTGTGATTTATGTTTGTCCTTTTGACGTGATATCGCCAAAAGGACAACCACAAGTGGCGCAGTGCAAAAGTCAAGTGCAGTACAAAAGTCAAGTGGCACAGTGCAAAAGTCAAGTGGCGCAGTGCAAGAGTCAAGTAGTGGCACACGCATTTGGATTTGCAATGTGCCACTTTAGTTTTGCACTGCGCCACTTGTGGTTTGTCCTTTTGGCGTTCCATAGGAGGCAATGTTGGTAACTCATCAGTGTGTTGAAAATTGCATATAGCATTATGTGAATATATTATTTTTAAACGTTTCTTAAACTACAGTTCAGAGAATTAAATATACATTTTTATCTTCAAGTGCTAAAGTGATTTTAAAGTAGACGTATAAGGCTTTATTAATTTATTTTATTGAATTCCAATTCTGTGAATTTACAACTCAAGTGTGTCAACCCACTTTACCTAGTATTATTATCTCCCTGTAAGAAGAACATAATTATACAGTATTGAGTGGTATATGATTTACCTTGGCTCTTTGTTGATATACTCCATCATACCCCCATGACTGTATTAAGCGGTCTAAATGCAAGGATGTTACGATTTGATCACATTATTATTGTATTTGTTCTATTTCATTGTTTATATATCTTATATACGTGCAAAGTATTGTATTCTCATTGTATCATTATTAATAGAGCTACCTGGACATTGAATAAAATAAATAAAAATGAAATACCACAATTTTGGGTGAATTCTGTAATTAATTCTGTTATTATGTGCATAAGCAGAGCATAAAACACTTTAACATGCCTAAATTATTTTGAGAAATCGTAGGAACCATTATCTTTTGGAATATTGGCTAATAATTTTGGCAATATTCTCCAGTCCAATTTCCAATCAATTTTGATTAGTTTGAATTGAATTTATTCATTAATCATGTAATTAAAACAACAGGACAAGAAAAGCAAAAATGCAACAAACGACCCTGATTAATTAATAGGATAAGCCATAAAAAGTGGGTCCCATGAAAACGATTTAAATTTGCACAAAGAACAAAAAACACACACACAACGTCTAAAATGAAATAAAATGCAATGAAAAAATTTTACAAGTGGAGAGGGGTATACCGTCTTACCAAACAATTTGATGCCTGATGTTTACGGGCGCTATTCGTTATCAAAGTTATTCAGCTAACAGTAACTGTTACCCATCTTTTTCATATTTTGTTTTCCCACTCTGGGCATGTATCTACTCTGATTGGCTGAAAATGAAGAGCATCCATACGTCACGGTGCAAAGCCTGGCTGCCAAACATGCGGTAACAAGGATAATCGTCGCACTGGTGTTGTAGCAGTGAAGAAAATTAGGTCAGCGTCATAGTCTTTGCGGATGAGATTTGAAGTATTAACAAGAATAAAAGACATTCAAAATCGTAAATTTTCTGCTTATTTTCACCGTTTTCGTACCAAATACCAGTTCACCTGATTAAAAGACATTCAAAATCGTACATTTTCTGCATATTTTCACCGTTTTCGTACCAAATACCAGTTCACCTGCTTAATTACGATCGGTCGTAAATTTAAAACAAATGAAATATTTATGCATTGTACTATAAGTGCCATAAAATGAGAGTAGTATACTTAATTTACCAATAAGCCTAAAGTTTTCGCTTAAGCGAGAATTTAGGTCTGGTACTTAATTTCTCGATGGTACCTGAATTCTCGTGACACCGGCTAGGCTTAGGTCTGTGTTCTTCGCGACGATGTCTGGGAGTTTGGATGGAATATGCTACTAATATTGGGCGTACAAAATTTTAAACTGAATTGTTTGTACTTTGGTTTAATGACTAAACTTGCCTAGTCTAAGCCTAGCTAGGCCAATGCCTATGCTAGCCAGGGAGACGTAACATTCCCTGCGAAGGCTAGGCTTAGCTTAAGGTATGCCTAGGCCTATTTTTTGTGTACATGTTGCATATGGACCATAAAAGCTAACATCATGCCTACTTTGATTTAATATTCTATTTTCTTTTATTTTTCTTTCTAGGCCTATGTATACCAAAAGTGACTAGTGGAAAGTTGATATTGGGATTTTTGTAAATAAAAGTGACTGTGTCTAGAATTACTGTACCACCACTGTTTTTGAATTAAGTCATATTTTTTTTCATTTCTTTGGATGGTATGACAATTCTAGTACATCATTCCACCACTTTTGTCTGTGACCAGCCTTTGTTGGGGTATACATACAATACCTGACCAATGGAAAAAGCTGAAATTCAACTGGATTTTTGTAGAAGTGACTGTTTCTAGAACTACTGTATCACCAGACTGTTGTGGAATTAATTTTGGGGTTTTTTTTCCATTCACTTGGATGGTATCACAATTCTAGTATATCATTCCACCATTTTTGTCAGTGACCAGTCTTCTTTGTGGACATTTGCATTTTTGATTTATACCAATCTGTGTATAGATTTTCAATATATTGATTTTTAATTGGATATTAGAAATACTATATTATATGAATATTAATAGATCACATAAATTATGAAGATCAATAACAATTTTGTTATTGACTATACAGCTATCGAAAAGAACAATTTTCTTGATATTCTGTTTAAATTTCGAAAGGCTGTAATGTTGTAGTGGCATTGGTAAGTAGGCACAGTTAGTAAACTTTAGATTTAAATTTGGTTAAAGAAATTTTAGGCTAACAAAATGTAATTGTAGTAAGGCTAGGCTATTTTAATAACTTGTTTTATGTACTTTGTCAAAGGAGATCATCATCTGTGCACAAGGGAAAATAAATTTTACTGATGAATTTAAACAACGTAGTAATCAGATTAATAAATGCTTGAAATGTGTACACTTCTGGAAGAATAAGACCTTATTTTTAAGGAGGGTGAAATAAAATAAATTTCAAATATATATTTTTTTTTCATAAATGTTATATTTTTTTTGTGTTAAGAAGGTTCCATAAACAAGGTGAAAACATTCTGGCCAAGGCCTATATCTATCGTTCACAATATAATGAGAATATGGGGGCCATAATATCAACTTATAAATAAATTTTAGTTTAAATTGTTTGCAAACCAACTAAAAACAGTTAATAAGCAGTTTTATATTGCACAAAAATGAAAATCATTACAGATACAGAAACAGAGAAATTTTATTATCCAAATATAGAAATTACAATAAAAACAATAATAATAATAATAGTAATAATAATAATAGTAATAATAATAATAATAAAAATAATAATAATAATAATAATAATAATAATAATAATAATAATAATAATAATAATAATAATAATAATAATAATAATAATAATAATAATAGCTTCTTCAATATCTTTAATTTAAGCTCCCTTTTATTTTAGCCTGGTAGAATGACTACTGGTAACAGTTTTTATGCACACCCACTGTTGGCTGTCCTAATAATAATAATAATAATAATAATAATAATAATATTAACAATAATAAAAACAATAACAATAATAATAATAATATTAGCAATAATAGTAATAATAATAATAATAATAATAATAATAATAATAATAATAAAAATAACAATTTAAGCTCCTTTTATCCTAGCTGGGTAGAACGACTACTACTACGATTAATTATTGCATTTGATGGTTTAGGCTGTTTTTGATTAACACAATAAGTTGTTTTACACAATCATTAATTATTGCAAATGTTGGTTTAGGCTGTTTTTAATTAATATAGTAAATTGTTTTACACAATCATCAATTATTGCAATTGTTGTTTTGGGCTGTTTTTGATTAACACAGTAAGATGTTTTACACAATCATTAATTATTACAATTGTTGGTTTAGGTTTTGTTTTTTTATTAACCTAGTAAGTAGTTTTACACAATCATTAATTATTGTAATTGTTGGTTTAGCCTGTTTTTGATTAATATAATAAGTTGTTTTACACAATCGTTAATTATTGCAATTGTTGGTTTTGGCTGTTTTTAATTAATATAGTAAGTTGTTTTACACAATCATTAATTATTGCAAATGTTGGTTTAGGTTGTTCTTGATTAACACATTAAGTAATTTCACACAATCATTAAATTATGTATTTGGTTTAAGATGTTTTTGATTAACACAGTAAGTAGTTTGACACAACCATTAATTACTGTAATTGTTAGTTTAGGCTGTTTTTGATTAACACATTAAGTTGTTTTCCATAGTCATTAATTATTGCAATTGTTGGTTTAGGCTGTTTTTGATTAACATAGTAAGTAGTTTGACACATAATAATAATAATAATAATAATAATAATAATAATAATAATAATAATGAAGTGTTGGTTACATACTGATATTCACACGGAGACTGTTAATCCAATATTATTATGAGCTTAATTACATGAGAAGAATAATGAGCCATCAATATCTTTTCGTTAAATAATTAATAAATATTGTATTCATACGATAAATTATATACACCATTTTATTTGGCCTAATTTGAAACAGCGCCGCCAACGTCAGGAATACGATCTTTTATGCTTGGGGTACAACGATCGCGACCTCGCTATATTTATCCTATTGATTGCTTACATCGTAGTTAATACTTACAGCTCCAAAATCTTATTATACAGTACATTTTGCTTATTATTGTCCTATATATACATTTATTAATTATCTTAAGTGTGTATGATGGTGGAAATTTGGGAAGAAGACGTTCGTGAGTGGCCTGTTTTAAGCTTTAATGGTAAGATTTTCAGGCTGATAATTTCGTTTTGTGATGGCCTCCCACGTGAGTCACGTAGCGGTAAAAGTAGCGTTTGTCCAGCTAGCTGTGCTTGTTGAATGTGCATCGTTAGGCCGACCCTGGCCTGGCTTCCCCAGATTCGGCTCAGTTTATGAATAGTTTATTATAACTTCACTGGGTTATATTTTACTACAGTTGCAAATATTGTTGGTGGGAAATATAGCCACATATATATATATATATATATATATATATATACATATATATATAGGCCTATTCAAACTTTATTTCAAAAATAAAAAAACAATAAATATACAATTTCTGTTCTTGTGACGGGGCCATAGGCCTATTTATGTTGCATGGTATAAATAACCGCTTAGGCCCCTATACATAATTAAATGAATGAATGGTAATCCATATTTTAAAAAATTGATCTTGATCTTAAACAAATACAAATTATTTATTTTTATATACTTATTTGAATAATATAGTAATTTTTTTTTTTTTTGCATTTATTTTCAGATATAACTGATTACTTTGTTAATGTCCCTGCATGCGATGATCAGCCAAATCATAACTACAGAAGTATTCTTGAAGGGCAAAATTACTTCAACTCTAACTGGATCGACACAGTGTACCACAAGTACAGATCTGTACAGTGCCGGATCATTGATCTAAAGTCCAAAGTCCGTTACTCTCAAATTATCGGAAGGGAACATGATGTTCAGATTACAGTCAATAAAGATGCCAACCAAATTATTGATGTGGACTGTGACTGTATTGCTGCAAGAGGCAAGTGTTGCAGTCATACTGCTGGCTTAGCCTTCAAAATCCTTGAAGCTAACAAACAAGGCTTAATTGGCAAAGCTTGTACCGACATGGCAATGGTATGGAATTGAGGAACAAAAAGGAATGTGGTACCTGATTCGGTAGAAAATATTAGAAGCGGTGAAAAGAGGCTATGCTTATCATCCAACTTTCTTGAGTTCGAAACCGATGAGGACATGAAAAAACATCATAACAGCAAGATTATGAAAGAACTAAGCAACATTCCAGGCTTATTATTGAACCACACTGTTAATACTGAACAAGTTTGCTTCACTCCAGAAGTGAAACAAATTAACCATGATGATCATTCTTCTGGTGAGCTACGCTGCAGTGCTTGTGAAAAGATATATACTGAATATATTTTGTTGAATGATAGTAGAGCATCACATTTAGCTGTTGAAACAGCACAACAGGACTCGGCTTTGTGGACCTCGCAACGCAAATTAAGAATAACTGGGAGTACGGCAGGCTCCGTACCAAAAAAGGAGACAACTGATGTGTCACGTTGGATACAAGACCATATGCAGCCTCGCTTTCATGGTAACAAAGCTACGTGTTGATATTTTAAACCTATAACCTAAATCTGGAAGCAACAGACCTAAACGTAGTCTCATTAATACCATTAAAAACTGTTCAGCCACTGGTAGAGAATGTGATGGAAGTTCTGTGGTCCAACACATAAATGATGACAGTAAAGCCCAAAATGTGGTAGATGATAGCCCAGTAAAGAATTTGAACTGCTTATCATTCATGTCATTGGTGTCTATGGAAGGTGCACTTGGTGTTTGTGTACATTTATCCTGAGATTTTTTGGCATAACAGTGGTCGTGGTTCAAAGGCTGTGCTGAATAATACTGTGTTGACACGTCTTTGTATTTTGGCTCCACATTGACGTCCATTGGCTGTACTATTTCAACATCCATCCTTTCATCCGGTGGTAACTTATTGTAAACATCTACGTTTGTGTCCATTTTTGTTTGGACACGAGTTCGCTGCCGGGGAGCACGCCTTCCTGGACTTAGTTTCCAATTACTCTGTAAATAAAGCAACCAACAAATTATAATTAAATTTAAAAAGCATGTTTATTAATTTTTGGCTTATTTTTTAATAAGAAAAAAATCTAATCTAATTTTAAAAGACACACAGTTAGGAAATAACTTACATGTAGAGAATATCCAATGTGCAGCGTCGGATATGGATGTCCTTTTGACGGCTTTCCATCAACAAAGTGAACAGAACAAACCTGCAAAAACAAATACAAAATAATCAGTTGAATGAGTCTTCAACTTCATTTTTTCACATAGAAACCCACATAATCGTTGCTTAATATTGATTGAATCATGGGGTTTGTAATTAGTACACAACTCCTTTGCCTGAATCAAGGGCCGTATGCCTAGGCCTAGACCATCCTCTTACGAAAATGGGATGTCAGTGGGAAAGTGTAGTGGTTCACTACTACAGTGCTAAGTTGTTGGACGCTCTCCTGAGACCGGGCAAATTTTTACACAATAAAAATTATAAACAATCTTCAACTTACTCTGTGATAATCTTTAAGATCGTTGATAGTTAATTTTGTGCTTAAATTTTTCACCCATTCTTGACGATGGGCTTGTGGAAATTGATGGAGCTGGTAGGGCTGAATACAACAAGAGCAATCCTTGCGAAAAAATCCCTGGTTGGGACACAACTCGTTTTTCCATTGTTGAAGCTTAAATTGGCTATTACTGCAGCCATTCACCTGGCAAATCTTTCTTGCACCTTTTCCACTCATTCTTTTATTCCGGAGAATAATGGCTTAAAGTATTTCACAAAAGAATTTAACAACAAAAGAAAACAATCGCTTCGCTACTCTACTTCACAGTAACTGTACTGTATGTAAAAGCATAGGCACTTCCGGGTATCACTAGTACACCGCGGTGTCGTTGTACCCCAGGCAAGGTTGCCAGGTTAACGAAAGTTTTCTATCCAATTATCGCGAAAATGGTGTGTATGTACAAACATGTTAGTGATTTACTTTGTAATTTAAGTGTTTTATTTTATGAATGCACTCAGTTAAGTTTCAATTTTCAATTTATGGACTTTACTTTTACAAGGTGGCACACATGAAACAAGTTTTATGGTACATTCGAAATAGCTTAATACATAACATAACATTTTAAAAAACTTAATTGTAAAACCAAAATACTAATTTCTTATTAACATCATAGTCAGAATGTTATTGACTATTATAGAGAGTATTTATTCCAGGTTTACTTATTGCAAGCACAGTACCGGTAATAATACTGTACCAACAAAAATAACAACATATATCAGTACTATTTAATGAAGTACTTGTTTCATGCACGTAGGCACCTCAAAGTTTACCTCAACCTCAAAATTTAGTTCTTATTCTGTTCTGAATTGTTGGGTAACTTAGGCCTCTGTCAAAGCTCAACAAAACAGCCAAAGAACGATGGTTGAATTATGATCTTTGAAATAGGGTTTTTGCTATTGAAGCAACCTTTATCTCTTGGTTTGTTGTCTATGTCATCAACTCCCATAGCCCTGCTGCGCAGCTGTGGAAGTCGGTCTGCATTATAGTACAGGTACATTAAAAGCCTTGCTATTGCTCGTAAACGGCCTTCGTAATAGATGGTACGTTTGTTATAATTATAAGTCAATTCGCTCGCTCCAATCGTTGTATTATACGGGTGTAGGTACTATAAATACTTATGAGGTGAAGTGTGGCAAATCTAGTTCCATATAGTTTTAAAAAAAATATTATTATTTATTATCATTTCAATTAACTGTTGTTATTTGTGCACTTATAGAATAATTTTTTAAATAATAGCTTATTACTATTCATAATTATGTTGTTTTTTTTGTTGTAAAAAATTGGGACAAATATTGTGAGAGATGTACAGTATATTTGAAACATTCACAAATCTGCATCTTACTTTTGGGTTTGGTCTACAGGAGCTCGTGTTTCGTACAGGTCATTCGTAATAGATGGTACGTTTGTTATAATTATAAGTCAATTCGCTCGCTCCAATCGTTGTATTATACGGGTGTAGGTACTATAAATACTTATGAGGTGAAGTGTGGCAAATCTAGTTCCATATAGTTTTTTAAAAAAAAAAAATATTATTATTTATTATCATTTCAATTAACTGTTAATAGGTAGGTTTAAGACATAGGAAAATATAGGTTAATTGTTTAGGGTGTAGCTTTTGAATGGTAGAAAAATACCTGAGATCACAGTCTGCACCTGAGTCCTATGTCGGCACAAAGGCTTATAATGCATCTTGAGGATATTTCCCGTACGATTAAAAAATCTTAAATGGATGACTAAATAAATGAATGATAAACTGAATAAATAAACAAACACAATTTCAGTATGCAACAATCCTTTTACTCCTGTATAATGATACATATTTATTTTTTCTTACAGCTTTAGATGTTTTGAAACCAAGCCTTGCACTGTAAGATGAAATTTTTGTTTGATCTAAACCTGGAATTTAAAGTACAAACCTAGCATTAAATACTTTCTACTTTATAGTGTTTAATTTAATAGCTGTGCAAGGAAGATGAAGTATACATATTACATACTGTGGAATTCTTTAAAATTGCTTTGGAAAAATGTTCTGTTGGCCCCTCATAGAATTAACTACTTTAATTATAGTAAAATGACATGCAGCACTACTTTTTAGGCTAAAAGCCTGCTTACACTTCAACGATAACGATAAAAAAAAAAGTTAAAAAGCGATTGTTCATATAGAAAACAAAAGAAACAAGAGAAGTTTTAACACTAGGACGATTCGATAACCTCAGTGATTCTTACAATAATTACTGTAAGAATCACTGAGGTTAAAAAAACGAGTTGCAATCTAAACTTAAGTTATCAATTGTAGTTGTTTTCTTATAATTTCTAGTGCAAGGAATATACAGTCACATTTTTTATTCACAGTCGACTTCAGTGAATATGTTAGTATAAAACCTCAGTATATTAACTTTGTAGTTTAAGCACTTGACATTCATTTGTATAAATATGTTATTATAATATTATATAATTGTGACTGCAAAAGTAATAAATATTAATCTAAGATCTACAGTACAAAATTGATTTTTTTTTGTCATTTTAATATGTAAAGTTACAATTAAATTATCCCATTGTTTTACATGGTCCTTATTATCTTTTCCCTAGTGGCTTGAATACAATATACAATACATCGACTCTAGAGAAGAAATAGATTTAGTTATGTTTTTGTAAAGTTGCAATGCAAATTACTGTATTGTTTTACATGGTCCCTATTATTATAAAATTTTGACCAATGTTTCTCTAAAGTTATCCTTACACGTAGCTAGAACAATAATACATGACAACATTTTATGTGAGCAATGGACAAAATGTGACCAGTAATTAAATTACCAAAAATGATTAAATTTACTTAAAAATACAGTATCATCTTTGAAATTATGAAAATAGGAAACAAAAAAAGAATGAAAACCACATTTTTTTTGTAGATGTATGACCACATTTACAGTAATATTAAAGAATTGACATAAGGGATGCAATCTTTCCAAGAAAAAAAAACTAAGTTAACAAGAATATAAAAGAAATTCCGTTGTTTTTTCCTGACCTAGAAATTTGTTTTCAATAATATTTTTCCACTGATTAATACATAGCAAATTTATCTATAGCTGGATATCTGGGTATATATTTTAAAACGTCAGGAAGACACATGGTTTTAAAAATTTTAATAAGTACTGTAGGACCCAATAGTTAACTGTTTTATTGGCCTGATATTTTTCAAGATAGTTGAACCGCAGCATCAGATAAGGTACATTAAGCCTTAATTAATTTACCAAGAGAAAAAAATATATATATTTGTTATATACATGGAGTTACTGTATCCATGGTGTATGTACTTTACAGTATGAGGAATGAACAAAATATAAAGTACTGTATGAATACCCTCAGAAATGATTTTGGATGTTTTATAAAACTGATTACTACTTTGGCGTATTACTTACTTTCAGCAGTCTTTTCATAAGGTGACTGGTTGTCGATATCAGGCTGATCAAGTCTCAGTATCCTCAATATTTTTCGGTTCGGTAGCTTGTTCTGTTCAATTTTTCAGTAAAAACATCCTCGTTGTCAACTTTGAACCGAAATTCTTTTGTTTTTAACATGCACTATGATCTTCTACCATTAAATTAGAATGAGTACAGTAGGTAAGAGTCCATCTCAAAAGATATTAGGCCTAATTAGTAAGTCCGATATATGGAATTCTCAAAACAAGTCTAGACCAATGGAGTCACACAGATGTTATGCAACACAAGTCAGTAGTATTCGCTAGTCCTGAGAACATCGATATTCTTTTAACACAATAGCGTTCCAAGACAGCGTTGATGGAATGTCTTTATGCGCTTTGTCTGTATTTGAGTTGTATTCCAAATCTCTCACTTATATAATGTCAGTACAGCTCTGTAGATGCGAATCTTTTAAAGGTTTGTATGTTGTGACTGTTCCATAAACCTCTTAAGAAAAAAATAAAAAACAACAAATTATATTTTAATACGAATATTCCTCAGACAATACTCTCTCTCTCTCTCTCTCTCTCTCTCTTGGCCTGCCTACTGTACTAATGCTCTCTGGCGGTGGTTCGTTCGTCAACGACGATATACTACGGGTAAGCCATAAAAAGTATTATGAATTTAATTTGTAAATGCAAGATACATACTATATAATATTATTAATTATAATCTACAATACCGTATAATACTCATTTAAAAAATAGTATGTTTTATATATATATATTTTTTTAGTTTTTAAGAAAATAACATACAGAAGGCATGGCCTATATGGTGAGTTGGATAATCGAGCGGTTAAGGGAGAGGAACCTCCGTGTACAGTTATAATATTGGATTGGTTAGAATGGCATGTACGCCTAGGTTCTGGTTGTGAAACAGTCCTTCACGAATAAGGACTATAAACCGCAGGTCCAGTGTAATTACCTTCGAGACGAGTAGGGGGTTTACCCTGGCATATTGGTCAATTTAGCCCCTACTGAAAAGTGTCGCTGGTACCGGTTTACCGGGTAGTTCAGACACGTAGAGACCCTTAGGGAGAAGCAAGTTACATAGAGTAAGAGCCGTCCACACCTTGAGTGCTTTGAGACCATTTTAGTGTGAAGCGCTTTATATAAATCTATTTAATAAAATGTTCACATCAATCATCGTAGAAGCTACAAAGCCTTAAAATATGTTGGCTATTTTAAAATATGTTGGCTATTTTGTCATTTTTACCGGGTCATTTCTCAACAAAAATGAGCTAATTGGTGGCGAAACAATTACTTGACACTACAGTAACAAATCACCTCAGCCCCAAAAGAAAGGACCCTACCCTGCCAATATGCCAGGATTAACAGGCTGCAGCCATAAAGACCAGCCCAGACTAGGGCCTACGTCTGTAACATTTTAATGTTCAATCGCAAGTTGGATAGGGCCGGACGTATCCAGCCCTGACGGGGAAGTAGGCACCTACATATTTATACCTCTAATCCTCAACCATACTACTTATGCAGACCCGGGCTATGCCTAACGTGTGGCTCCTCGGGCCAATATGTCCAATGTCCCAATGTAGGCCTAGCAGGGCCTAGCCTAGCGGGTCATAATGTCTTAATACGAAGCCTAGGCCAGGCCTGTAGAGGCCTAAACTAGTAGGCTGGATAAGAGTAAAAGCATCCTTCTCGTTGACTGTGGTGTTGAAGAGTTTTGGAAAAAACATTC